GGAAAGCATAAAGTGGATTCTTGGGTAAGGGACCAAGTTAGTCTGGAATTCAGTAACATCCACATTCAAAGCACCATCAAACCTCAGAGAGGCGGTCAAGGAGGAAATGACCTGAAATTACAATAACAAAAGTCATGTCAGATCCGTACTATCTTTAAATTTGAGAAAGCTACAGAAGAATATCGACACGTACAAGAACATTCTGGGCGCCAATAATTCCACAAAGGCATCCCAATACAGGATCAGATAACATACCTGAGAGATAAGCCTGTTGAGGTTGGTGTAGGTGGGTCGCTCAATGTCAAGAGAACGCTTGCAGATATCATAGATAGCTTCATTGTCAAGAAGCACAGCCACATCTGTGTGTTCCAAAAGGGAGTGAGTTGAGAGAACACTGTTGTAGGGCTCAACAACAGATGTGGACACCTGAGGAGATGGATACACAGTGAAACCCAACTTGGATTTCTTTCCATAGTCAACAGACAAGCGCTCCAAGAGAAGGGACCCAAGACCAGATCCAGTACCACCACCAACAGCATTGAATACAAGGAAGCCTTGCAGACCAGTACAATTGTCAGCTAGCTTTCGGATACGGTCCAGGCACAGGTCAACAATTTCCTTGCCAACTGTAACAACAAAGAAAATCATTAGAATCACTAAATCAGCATCAGATAAAAAGCTAGGAAAGGAAAAAACCAGAGACACACTTACTGGTATAGTGTCCACGGGCGAAGTTGTTGGCAGCATCCTCCTTGCCGCTAATAAGTTGTTCAGGGTGGAAAAGTTGGCGGTAAGTTCCGGTTCTGACTTCATCAATGACAGTGGGCTCAAGATCTACAAAGACAGCACGAGGGACGTGCTTCCCGGCACCAGTTTCACTGAAAAAGGTGTTAAAGGCATCATCCCCTCCACCAACAGTCTTGTCATTTGGCATCTGACCATCAGGCTATAGAAAAAAAAACACAAACATTTATTAGTAATTCATATACAAAATTAAAAAACAGAATAACCATAAAACTTGAATATACAAAATAATAAGCATATTCTTTTCCCTTGATAAGAAAAAACAACTAAGATTTTGAAATGAACATCACTAATGGATCTAAGCAAAATCCAAAAAATCAATAAATATTAAGAAGCATACCTGAATCTAAAGATATAAACACATTTGAAAACAATGATTAACAGATAAGATCAAAACGACAATAAAAACTCACAGATCTGATATAAGCAAAGGAAAACTCAACAAAAAAAATCGAAAATCCAATTTCAAATTATCAAAACGACACCGGTTAAGCACAGATCTAACTAAAAAACTAACAATCTCAAAAAACAATCCACAGATCCAAACAAAACACACACAAATCTTAAGATTTAATCACGAGCGGGAATTCATACAAGCATAAAGCATCAGATCTGCATGAAATGAAACCGAATCCACAGATCTAGTGAGAAAGGAGGGGAGGGAGGTACCTGGATGCCATGCTCGAGGCAGTAGAGTTCCCAGCAGGCATTTCCGACTTGAATACCGGCTTGACCAATGTGGATCGAAATGCACTCTCTCATTCTCGCTAATTAAAGAAACAACGAAGATAGATCTAATTGTTGAGGAAGAAGAATAGGAACGAAGACGTTTATGAAGACGCCTTAAAGAAAAAACGAAGATAGATCTGATTGTTGAGGAAGGAGATTAGGAACGAAGACGTTTATGAAGACGCCTTCTAGAGATCACTCTGTAAGAGATGGACATGACAGGGAGATTTGCGTGGTTATTTATATCAGAGATATTTGGGGATTTTTAACCGGGGTTGGTTAAGATAGGGCAGCAAGCGGCAATCGGCGATGACGTGGTCGGTTGTGATTGAGTCTTATTAACTAAAGTTAGCTTTTCTGTCTTTTCAATTGTTTTTAAAAATTTTGCCGCTTGTGGCCAGCTAATAAGTCCTTTGATTCAATTGGAAGGAAGGTGGATAGGGTGGACCTGGACACGTGAACCTTACCTGGGCCTGTTTGGTAGTTAGCTGTGGCCTTTCCCAATGGCTGTCTTTTTAATTTTAGGTGCATTTAAAAAAATATATATATAAAGGAAAAACAATCATGTTACCATTTATGCCCAAACTTAGCTGTCTGAAAAAAAAATATTGCCAAACAGATGCAGCGAATCCTATACTGGCATCATCTTGGGAAACTATTTTCTTAAATGTTCAATTGAATCCTGGCATTATAAGTTCTAACCATTGGATTTGTATGCTAAAAAAGTAGTACCTGGAAATAAAAACATTGAGCTTTCACTTCATTGTGTAGAGGGTTTGCGGAGTGAGTGTATATTGATAGCTGTTTTTTAAAAATATTTTTATTTATAAATGTATTAAAATTTTATTTTTAAAAATATTTTTTAAAAGTTATTTTTTTTATTTTTAAAAATTATTTGTAATATTATTAGATCAAAACAATTGGAATATACATACAATTTTTTTTTAAAAAAATCCTAAAACAAGTTACACCACAGCCCTGAACAGCACCTAAGTACCCAACTAGCGTAATAGTTGCGTCTAAATTGTTGAAGGATAAAAGCTCTATAACTATAATCTTTTATCTTTCATATTATTGAGTACATGGCCTATGTCTATATATTGAAGATATACGAGGAGAAATTGCCCCCGTACGTTCAATTTAATCTCCTTCAGTTTCTACAAGGATTCGTTTATCTGGATCTTTATGTGAAGAACCCTTTCTTACATCAGCAAATTATTTCCACTGCAGCAATTTTGACGTGTGAAACCTTTAAATGAAATCTTTTCATCATCCTTGATTTGGGAAGTCTGGTTACTAGGATGCTTTTATTCTTGAAGAATGTCATAAATACAAGTACATTTACAACTACAAGGATGAAAAATCAAGCTGCAGGCTGCATGCCAGTCCATACACGGGGCCATCGAGTTCATTCTTCCTGAGATTACGCCTTTCTTGTAAATAGGTTTCTGCAGACCACATCCCGCAAAAGTAAGATGCTTGCAAGCACCACGCTTTCAAGGGTGCAAAACCACCTGTATTTCAAACACCAACGACACAGAGAGATGAGCGGCATAATATCACAACTATCTAGGCAATAATCCATCTCGAATTTTACAAATCTCAAGCCGTTGATTCCAACAAGTATGGTCATGTTTTCAGGGACTACCGAGTGTTTTGTGAGGAAAGCAAGGGAGCAGCAATCATACGCTACTAGGACATAGAAATAAATGTCCGCAAGGCTCACAAATCACTACGGTTGTATCTAGTAAAGTATATTATGAAGCAGCTGGCTTGCAACAATATTTTCATGCGCATGAACTCAAGGGCGGACTTGTTAAGTATTAATGACCATACTTAACACTAACCTAATTTTAAAGCATAGTTCAACAATAGTGGTTAAAACTATTGGGTTCTTCACATTTCAAACTGTAGAAACCTCAAGCTTGGTTCAGATTGGTTCAAGAAGTTCCACCAGCATGAGCAACTACCATGCCAGAAAGGCATAGAACATCTAACATCCAATGCCATAGAGTGAGAGAAATCCCCTCCTCTAGATACAAGTGCAAAGACACTGCACTGTATAAAATATAAATGGATATTTTTCTACATTTTAGGTGATTTTGGGAACAAACCTAGAACATACAGAGCTGCAAAAGACATGCATACTGAAGTAGCATAACAAACAATTGAATCATTCTACTCAGAGCTTTGAATTAAATGTGTAAAGTAAAAAAGAAAATCAAGTATAATATACCAATTATGACCTCGAGAAAAGCTTTCAGAACCCACAAATTAAAACGCCAGCAATAAAACTTCATTCACCGTAAACTCCACCTATGAAATTAATCTGAAAAGAAAAAGAATTCGCCATCATTTTCATCAAATTAATTCAATGAGAACCAATTCACAATAATCACCAGCTCGTGGAAAAAGGAACGGGAAAAACCGATCGGACGGCCTTTCTAGCACGTTTCGATACCTTCATAAACGCATTTGAAACAAACTTAACTCCTACCCCCCCTTCCGTTGATCGTCATAATCGTCATCGCCGTGATGGTCATCGAATTCAGAGTTGATCGAACGACTCCAATTTCGAGGATCATCTTTATCGGATAATCTTCTATAAGATAGAAGAAGGAGAAGAAAATTAGGTGATTAGAAGAGTGAAAATGGAGAATGAGGTTTCAGGACGAGGAGGGAAAATGTGAGGTTTACGGTGCATTTTTCAGTGATTGACATGGCTGTGCCTGTGCATTTGACCAAGATTCTGTATGTATCCTGAGCAGCAAGATATTGAGAATGCTACTAGTGCATGCAGATCACGCTCTGAAAAAGAAATCGTCAAGGTTTTAAGATATTGATGGATGGACTAGTTTTGCCGTTGTTGACAGATATTCTTAATTTGTGACTCTTCCACCACGCTTCCTACGCCTCGCAGAAATGTGTTTGTTCTGATTTGCTGTCTTTGTCCGTTGTCCTTAGCCAATGATGTAGAAATGGGCGGAGGAAGCGATGCCGATTCTTGTCGGCGCGATAGCGTACATAAAAAACTATAAAGAAACGATTTCAGATATCTCCGTGGAATGTTGGTAATTACTTTAAGTCTTAAGCCCTTAACCATTAAAACCAGACAAAAATAAAATATCTATTATATTTTATTGAAACTTCAAATTTGCTGGGTCTAGGATCCTTTGAGAACCTTCCCATTAATTTCACCATGTGTTAAATAAAATAAATAAAGAATCCATTGTCACTGACAGATGAAACAATTAATAAAAACGTTTTTCTCAAATTTCAGCAAAATCAACCTCCCGTGAATGCTTTGAATGAAAGTAAGAAAAAGTAAAAATAAAAGAACGTTTAATTTATTGCTTTATGACTGACTATTAAAGCCCCATTCCCATGCCACTAAATGCACTTAATTAAACTTCGAAGACAAAAAAATTTATCCCGAGAGCACAAACATTTCTTCTCTCAATTCCAACATGTCCTCCAATTCAAATCTAAGCTTCAATGAACATCGATGGATAATTAACATCCGTCGAACACTTGAGGAAGAGCTCGAAAATGATGCTGAGATTCCTGTCTGCATTTTCAGTGTCCCGAAAGCTCTAATGACTAGTGATCCGGATAGCTACACTCCACAGGAAGTGGCAATTGGTCCTTACCATCAATGGCGTCCGGAGCTCTATGAGATGGAGAGATACAAGCTCGCTGCAGCAAAAAGAACTCAAAAGAAACTTCAGAGCCTTAAATTTCAACATGTTGTTCATCGCTTGTCCAAGCTCGAGTTGAAGATTCGAGCCTGTTACCATAAGTGCTTAGATTTTAGTAATGAAACTTTGACTTGGATGATGGCAATCGATGCATCATTCTTGCTAGAGTTCCTGGAAATCTATGCCATCAAAGAGGGGATCGCAATCACAAGAGTTTCTTCAATATCAATGTCGCATTTGGTTGATTATGCTGGGAGAAAATCAGCTCATAATGCGATTCTTAGAGATGTGGTGATGCTCGAGAATCAAATCCCATTGTTTGTGCTGAGAAAAATTCTTGAAGTTCAGTTATCATCTTTGGAGTTGGCCGATGATATGCTATGCTCAATGTTGTTAGGATTTTGTAAAGAGCTTTCTCCATTCAAGATGATGCAGGACATTCCCAAGATTCATATATCTCAATGTGCACATTTGCTAGACTATTTGTATGGCATGATTGTGCCAAAAGTTGAAGCACCGCCAGAGATCATAACTGAGGCTGATGATCAGCCTGATGCAATGGAAGGCAGATATAATTCATCCGGTAATCCAACTTACATAAGAGATCTTTTCAGTGAGATTTGGAAGATAATCACAAGGCTCAACAAAGGTCCGGTACGCCTTCTCAAAAGACTGCTATTTTCCCGGCCTTTTAAGGTCATACTTAAACTGCCTTGGACAATCCTCTCTAATCTTCCTGGCTTTTCAATCTTAAAACAACCTCTTCAACATTTGTTCTTCTCGCAAGATCAAGAAGAAATCAAACCAGAGAATGAGAACTCGGATAATGAAGTTAACAGGCCTCCATTGGTTGAGGAGATCACAATTCCTTGCGTCACCGAGCTGTCCAAATCCGGGGTTTGTTTCGAACCCACTACTGGTAATATCCTGAGCATTACTTTTGATGTCAAGGCAGTTACTCTTTACCTTCCCACCATCAGTTTAGATGTGAACACAGAGGTGGTCTTAAGAAACTTAGTAGCATTCGAGGCATCAAATGCATCGGGACCATTGGTTTTTACACGTTACACTGAATTAATGAATGGGATAATTGATACCGAGGAGGATGTGAAGTTTCTTCGAGAAAAAGGTATCATTTTGAACCGGTTAAAGAGCGATGAAGAGGTTGCCATCTTGTGGAATGGGATGAGTAAATCCATTAGGCTTACTAAAGTCCCTTTCTTAGATAAAGTGATTGAAGATGTTAACAAGTATTATAACCAGCGATGGACGGTAAAAGTTGGGAAATTTATGAAGCGATATGTGTTTGGTTCTTGGCAATTTCTCACATTGCTGGCTGCAGTTTTTCTCTTGCTCTTGATGACATTACAAGCCTTTTGTTCTATCTACAGATGCAGTCGCGTGCTTCACATTTACAGTACCACTTAGAGAGGTTGGCCCGTCTGCTTCAAGTGTAATCAACTCTACCGAATGATGTTTGTTTTTCTTTTCTTGAGAGTGTGTGAGATCTTTCGGGTGATGGTTTCCGCCATACCCTGTGTGCTTGTAAAGGAGAAGGTTGGATTTTGTGTATCTTCACTTTAGGAGAGCATATGGGAGTGTATCGATAACAAGTTGTATTGTTAGTTCTTAATTAATACGCTGATAAGGATTGTGGGTGCTCAATCACTATGCAGCTCTTTTCTTCAAATTAGATAATTAATAATAATATGTATTGGGATGATGGTTTGTGTTTCTTGTTTTGATCTGCCATCGGATCTACTATATATTACTGTTAGACATGTTGATCACTGTAATCTTATGCTTTAGTGGCCGTTTGTTTCAATGGTTGCACCTGTATTTGAAATCAACCATATAAAATAGATGTTTGGCAATAGATAAAAAGTAGATTTACATGCATGGCCCAACAATTCATACGTTAGAAACACAAGCTCACTAAAAACGATATTGTGCTGCTTTCAATGTAAAGAGCTTTAGTGCGCGCTTAAAAGTGAATAGTGAAGATATGTTTTTTTTTTCGCTTGAATAGTAAATAACAAAGCATGACTTCATTTTTCATATAAATAGTGATATATAATTTATATTGATTAGATTTGGTCTAATTTAAAAGTATTGAATTGGGTCTAATTTAATATAAAAAATTAAATAAAACTTTTTTATTTTTAATTGTATTTTATTAATGATATAATATTTACATAATTTAATCGTAATATCAATTTTATTTTTAATTATATTTTACTTAAATTATATTTTTTATTTTTAATTGTGTTTTATTACTTATATAAAATTTACAGAATTTAATTGTAATTCTAATTTTATTCCGAATTATGTTTTATCTAATGTTGTTACATGCTTAAAAAACCAGAAAACTATAGTTCTCGTCAAATGTATTTCATATATGATGAAATTATAAATAGTTTAATTAAATAATAAAAAATATTTTATATAAAATATTATTTATTTTATAATATAATAGCAATAATTAAATTTACAATATTTAAATTAAAAATCATCAATATTAATATATATTTTAAAAAATTATTTTATAACCTCAATTTCAAAGCATTATATATATATATATATATATATATATATATATCACACATCTTGAATATTTTGGAGGTTCAGAACCTCTCCAATCATTAAAAATATTTCGAATGGGCATTTTTAATTGGTAAAAATAAAAGGATTTTTTTTTATTAATTATGGAAAATGATTCATGGTCTGCAGAATAAGATGATGGAGGTTTGATGAAAACATATTAAAATATATTTTATTTTTTTAAAATCTATAACAATATATTAAAATAAAAAAAACCACAAAAAATTAAAAACAAAAAAAAAATCAAAAAATCTCGAACACGTGATTTAATTACAAAAACAAACATTACATTAGTCACCCATCAAAAGGCTTCTTCTCAAGTGTGATAAAAGGATGTATCAAAATACATATTCTATCCTCTTTATTGATGAATATGTTGCAGAAATCTCCCACCAATACATACTTTGCGATTGCTGAACTGTCATTCCGTAATCGGAGAGAAGGCTGCAGGTAATAAGAGGGAAATAGGGTTGTGAATATTCATGGGAGGAGATGAAGGATAATATTTCAAGATAGATAATGATAATAATAATAATTAAATATGAGCTCGTCTCAACCCTTTTTTCTTACATGAGATTTTAAGATGTTTGTCTTCCAAATATATAAATAAAAAAGAGTGGTGTATTCACTGCGCTTGGTTTTATGAAGTTTGAAAATGAGTCCATGACTATCCCTAGTGATTATATCCTCGGGAGTTTTCAGGCTTGCAATATCCCATTCTGTAAAAAAAATAAAAAAGGAAAAGGAAAAGGGCATCCATTTCTTAATTAAAATTAATATTAATAAAGAAGCTAAAATACAATGGAATTTTTACTGTAGCTTTTTCATTGTAAAAATGTTAATCTTTTAATTTTTTTAACAATCAATAAAAAAAACTAAAATAAAACTGTCTTTTTTATATAAATTTTAATACAATGGATTTTTTTTATTTTCCTCCCACAAAGCCATATATATTCTAAAGTCCAAGATGTTATTTATCTCTTTCCTTTTCATTTGGTAAAATGTGATTTGTATCGAGTTTTTCATCTTGCTATATTCAAAGAATTGTTCTCTGTACCAGCAGGAAGCCATCTAATAATTCGTAGTATATTAATCAACAGTTCATAGTATATTAATTATTTAGGTGGTAGTTAAGTCGGAAAAATTTAGGATTAAAAAATTTATTTTTTTTATAATTTTAAATTTGAATTTATAGATAATCACTTAAAATTTATATTATCATTAATTTTAAAATTTATAAAATTAATTATAATATATATAGTCCAAATATCTATATTAATTTAAAAATAATAATTCACGGCGCATTTGAGTAGGAACATCGTTACTAATATTTTTCCCTCTCACGAGAAGACCGTTCACTTTTATTTATTTATTTTATTGGAGGCAGGTGAAGAGAAGAGCCAAAAATCTCAGTACAATGGGTTTTTAATCACAAGGCCCATGGAAAGACTACAAGGCCCGTGGAAAGACTAGGCAGCTATACAGCCCAAAAGGGAGCATAGCTGGTGCCCTGTAGAAATAACCGAGAGCTTGGATCTCTTCGCCGGGGAATTTTTTCCGCCAAGGTTGATTTTGCATGCAAAACCATTGAAGAGGAAATAGGAAATGACAGCAACACCAGTGGCAGATACAGAGCTGGATGATGGTAATGGCACAGTTGGCAGTTATGGTGGTGACCACCTGGTTTTTTTTTATTTAAAATTATTATATCTTATGTTTTTTTTTATCATTTTGAAGTAATAATATTAAAATAATATAAAAAAATAAAATGAAAATTATTATTTTAATATATTTTTAAATAAAAAATATTTTAAAAAATAACCTGTATTAAACTCTTAAAAACCACCTGTATCTTTTCTTGGGAAAAAAATTGTTACCGTGATTCAGATCTCTAAGTTAATATTCTTGTGAATTTAACCCTCGAGTGGTAGGATGTTTGATTGATATTACTTCTGTCATATTTAGTCAAATTTAGTTTTTAAATGTTATGAATGCCAAGAAATGGTAAAAAAAATCATTAAAAAAAATATCCAAGGTTATTTTTTTATATAATAATCTTATCTGGCTGTAAATGGTGTTTTTACTACAATACCGGTGAAGATTGTTTTTTTTTTTTTTTAATGTTTTTTACCAAACCCTGATGATATTTTTATATTGTTAAGTAAAAAAATATATAAAATACAGTGGAAGGAGTGCCAATTAAAACACCACATAGTTTTTAACCTAGAAAAAAAAATAAATTCAAGTGGTGTTGGTCAGAACGGCCTATGGTTAAAGAGGAAGGTAGCTTGTCCGAATCAAATTATATCAACGAAAAAAAATTTATTTTCCACTGCCTTGATTAAATACAAGCCCAAGATTATAATACGAAGAACAAATTTTCTTTTTCACTGCCTTAACCAAACCAAGTGTACGCGCTGGTATAACCTACAAAAACATAACAAGGCGTATATTTCTTTGTTCTCAATTATTCTCTCTATATGTTTTTGATAAGCTAGTCTCCAAGCATTTAATTACATAGACACATAGGAATCATTCCGAGAATAGATGTGACTAACCCCTGTTTAGTGATTATTTGATAGGTAGTAATGTTTATTTTTTACTTAAAAATATATTAAAAAATTATTTTTGGTATTAATATATTAAAACTATTTAACAATAAAAAAATTAATTTTAATTTTTTTTAAAAAAATTGCCACAAGGATGAATTGGGCCTCTGTAGAGATTGTCAGGAACCGAACGTGATCCAGTTGAGAAAAGGGTTGGAGGCTGGAAATTAATTTAAAATTTTAAAGTTATCCCAAAACAAAACAAACAAAAGATAATTAGAAACAGGCGTGACATCCCACCCTTTTTTTTTTTTTTTTCCAGTTTCAGTTGTGCCAGTGAATAAACAACGGGCTGTGCCCGAATTTATGTGCGTTTTAACCCCCGTTTGGTATTTAAGCAGGAGGGGGTTGTTTCTTTATTAATATTTTTATATTATTTTAATATGTCAATATTATAAATAAATTTTAAAAAACAAAGAAATATTATCTTATGAGTTTTTATTTGAAAAGTAACCTGTATTAAATTAAAAAAATTTCAATTTTTTTTCAAAAATGCTGACAGGGCCTTAGTTTCCTGCTTTCTACCTCTTCACCTCCCAAACAAAACCACCGTGACCCTTCTCTCTCGCACTCAGACAAACACAGAATCATCTCTTTAAATTGAAAGTACAAAACTTATTTCCCTTTACGTTACATGCACTTAAAATCTCCTTTCTTGATTTTAACGACCCCAAAATCTAGTCCTTATCTTGTTGGTATGGTTCACTCCTGACTGCTTAAACTCGAATTAACTGCTACTCTTGAATTCCTGAAAGAACAATAAAACTATGGTTCTTTATGATTCTTTGTTGTTTTGGAGCTGTATTACTACCACGTGTTTAATTAGAACTGGGGTTACAGGTTGTGGGTTCATGTGATTCTAGTAGAAACTTTTTTTTTTTTTGGGTTTTTGTGGGGTTCTTAGGTATATGAATGTTGAGGGTTGGTGAATCGAATATTTGGAGTTTTTTTTTCCTTTTTTTATAAAAAATTTGGAGGTTTTAAATTTATCTTTTGGAAGATTTGATGGAAACACAGTTTGTTTAATTGTGATTTTGTGGCGCTGGTTTAGTAATTTTTTTGGGTGGATTTTTTTGTTTTATCTGTTTTGGTTATGAATTTTGATAAGCAGCAATAGAACTCGAGAAAAGGGCAACAAGGGGATGGTAGTTTTGAATCGAGAAAGAGAGAAAAGAATGTTCTGAGGAGTTAAGACTTTTTGATGCACCTCAATGGAGTTTGTATGTTAAGATCTGCTGCTTTTGTTTGAGATTTCAAGGGCAAAGATATTGAATTGTGACCTTTTTTTAAGAATATGATAATTGCATTGCTATTTGAGGCAGTCATTTAAGATGGTATTGGTCAGTTGATCGATGGTATTTAAGTTCCCAAGTTTGCGTATTCGAAAAATGTCGGGATTAAATTAAGATGGTATTGAGGTTGTTCTTTAGGTTTAATTACACATGCCTGCTTTCATGTTCTTGGAAGTACTGTTGCTGTATTAGTTTAATTTGTTAATGCTTCAATTAATGAATGCAGCATATAGCTGTTGGTTACTGCATTTTACATGCTCACATGAGTGTGTTTTATATATATGTATGTATGTATGTATGTATGTATGTATATATCTGTTTGCAACATTTAGGTATCTGTTTTAAATTCCAAGGAATCTCAGGATTGGAATTTCATGCCTTTATTGTCTTCTGAGCAGTATTCATTTTTAATTACACATGTTTGTGTGTCCTGTTACAGATAATGGTTTCGTGCATTGCTTTATTTGTTTTTGTATCAGTCAAGTAACAGTGTGTTTGTTTCTGAAAACACATGAGATGGCTGGAAACTTGAGTTGAAACAATGTTTTTTCCTAACAATGATTTGATTACTTCTATTGTTGTAACTTCATTTGTGGTACTTTTTGTTTACCTTTCAAAGAATCTCTTAATTATGATGTCAGTTGCCTCCATGTTACATTTTTTACCTTTTATCTAATGGTGTAGATCTTTGGTTCTCCCGTCAAGAGGTGAGTTGTTTTGTGCAAATAAGATGAATTTCCCAATAATGTAATACCAGTAAAGTGAAGCTTAGAATGTCATTGACTGATGCACCGCTGCCAATTCCACACGTGCCCTAAAGAAAGACAGCAATGTAGATAATTTCCAGAGGCATATAGGGAACCAACATAGTTAGAAGAGTCCGTCATAAACGACACATCAGAGCTCCTCAACTTATCTACTGTATCCTGCAGGCAAAACCATTGGATGATAATTATCTTGCCATTCCATGGATATCACACAGATGCTTTCCCTGCCTTTAATTTCCTACTTAGATGGGCTGTCTTCCGTGAGCATGTAGAGGCTATCTTCCGTGATCTGAATGTACGTTTGCTTGTAGCCTTTCCACGTTAATATATCAACTTAAGCAATAAAGCTCTAGGAAGAAATAGAAGGCAAAGGATGCAAAGTTTAATGATGTAGTTCATCTCAAAGGTTTAAATGAGAATGTTTTTTCATCCAAATGAACCTTGGTAGTTTTATTTTTTCAATAGGCATCATGGAATGTGGTGCTTGGCTCATTGAAACCGGAAAAACTCTATTATTAAGATATTAGCGGAAGGCTCGGCTTTTTTCCGCAATCCCTTGATTTCATCATATTTAGTTTCCTGAAAATATGCCAAAGATTGTTTCCAGAAGCAGACGATGGTTGACATAAATGGACAGCACTTATATGAGTGGGCTATTATTTTGTATTTTTTTGATTGCCTACATTGTTGGCCACAATCATAAGTTCAGTGTCTGCTGTCTTCCTTTATGCGACTAGATGTTTTTTGGCTTGCTGATATGTAGCATTAGTTCATTTGTTTGAAAAGAATTATTTTGCCTTCTTAAAATCATCGTCTTTCCATCAATGTAATTGAATTTATTTGATTGTTTCATGTGTGCTTCTGATAAATAAACATACTGTGGTTTCTGTTATTACCATATTGGAAAATCCTAACGTTTTGGTAATTTTTGCTGGTTTAGTTGTTGTCTGACGCACACTGCATCCATAAATGGCCAATAATCCTCAATTCTCTGGAATACAGGTAATTTTCTACAAAAAAATCTTTGTATGCAATTTCACTTCTTATGTGTACTCAAATCTAGCCTACTTGCTACTGGTTATTCATACAGCAACAGACCTTGAATTTCTTAATAAGACTTTTTTTATTTGAATTTTTTTTTGTGGCATAGTTGCCATGGTTTTCCAATCCCATGATTTGGACACCAAAATTGTGCTCTTAATTAACAAGTTATTTTGGAAAATAACATATGCTGTGCAATAATTCAACCTTTTCATTGCATATCAATCCATCTTGCATCTAGATAAAAAAGATAAAAGAAATGTAAGTATCCTGCTGATGGACAAAATACAAATTGAAGACAGATGATTGCAATGACAGTAATGGTTAAATTTGCATGTTTCAAAATATACATAACAGCAACCACTCTCTTGTTTGAGAAGGTGCAGTAAATGCCCATAATTTTTCTTTGTAATTATCCAGCAAGTGTACAAGAGGAGTTTTTTTTTTTTTTGGAAGGCATCTTAGGGTTGATATGTTTAATGGTCATGCCAATTTAAGGGTTTGTTTATGGTATGCATGGAGGCTTTCTTCACTTTGTTGATATGTTCTTGTAAAATTCGTGATGGAGAATGTTTGATATTTTTTTGGTCATGATTAATGCTGCCATACAAAGTGTTTTTATGTATTTATGTTTGGAAGATAGTATTCAAGAGCCACCGTGCTACTTTGTGTTTTTAGACACAGCACTTAATTTTTTTATTTGACATATCATCACATAAAATGGACCGAGTAACTTGAAAGCAACCCGCCACCTACCTAGCATCAGAATCATCGATTTGTCATGCAATAAATTCCTTGCTGCATTTATCATCAGCATGCTAAAACACCATAGAAATCTATGTTATGATGAAAAGAAGTGTAACACAATTATATGTTATGGTAGAAAATTAAATGTTAGCGATTTTGTTCTCATCTAGTGAAAATTTTCTTTTCTGAAAGGAAAAAAACAGAAGAAGAGAGTTGGTGGATATTAGATAAATGATAATTTCCTTATTCCTTACATCAATTATTCATTTTTCTTCAAGGTTCTCTATCTTTTGCTTATTGTGCTCTTTTTTGATTCAAAAGCCTCTTCAGCCTCCTCTGGTTGGTTCAATGGATCCTCCTCGAAATTTGTTTCCACCACCACCAATGCCTGTTCAAGTAATGTTTCTCACATGTTAAAATTTATAGATCACCATTCCAAATTACTTCAAATAGATCTGGAGAAATCTTTTTCTATCAATTGTTGCTGCAGTTCCGACCCATTGTTCCAGTGCAGCCACAACAATTCATTCCTGCGAGTTCTCCACACTTTCAGCCTGTTGGCCGGGGTGTCACTGTGATGAATGCGGGATTGCCTCCTCAACCCCCACAACCTCAATTTCCTCATTCAATGCAGCAGTTACCAGCTATACCTAACCGGCCAAGCCATGGTCCTCCACCACCACCACCACCACCACCACAGGCAATTCTATTGCCAAATGCTCAGCCAAACAGGCATGTCATGTCTGGATCTCCACTGCCTCCACATAGTGTTCAAACTCCAAACAACTATATGCCTAGTTTAGGTGGCTTGGGAGTGCCTCTATCTTCATCGTATAATGTAAGATATTGGGAGTTCCCCCATAGTTGATTTTTAAGAGTTTGATTGGTATCTCAATTGTTTAATTTATAGAACCTGATTTTTGCAGTTTGCACCATCTTCACATGGTCAACCACCCATAACATTTAATGCTGTATCTCAATATCAGCCTATGCCTCAAATGCATGCACCGTCTATTCCCTCTGGAGGACAGCCAGCATTACCATCCACGAACCAGAACACTGCACTTGTTTCGCCTATACAGCACAATGGTGAACAGTCTTCAATTACCACTGCCAGTGTTCTGGTTGGAAGATCCCTCTCGTATTCCTGTCTTCTTATGTTGTTTCTCTTCATTAGCTTTTCTCCTTTTCAATCTGAACATATCTTTATATGTCTTTTTTCTGGTTTCGGCATTGCATAAATTTTCAGGCAACTGGTATCCAGCCTAGGCCGACTGAAGAAGCCTTGACAGAGTGGAAAGAACATGCATCTGCTAATGGAAGGAGGTATGTATTTCGTAGTGGGGCAGGTGATTGTTGGTGCACAATACAACACTGCCAGATTAGTTTTGGTTGTGTTTATTTATTTTTTATATGTGGGCAGCGAGCACTCTACCCCAACTTCATTTGATTAAGAATCAGTTTTTGTGATAATGCATTGCTGTTATCAGTTCTTCTTAATTTTCAATTGATGTTGTATTTACATTTTTGTTTGATGTATTACTCTTTGCCTGATGTCCAGGTTTTATTACAACAAGAGGACAAAGCAATCTAGTTGGGAGAAGCCTTTCGAGTTAATGACACCAATTGAGGTGAGTTCATGTTACTGGTGCTGTTAGCCTCTTGAATTATTCACAATATGTAGCTTTATGGCTTAAAAATTTTGTGGAACTGTTTGTATATGCATACCTCCACGTTTTAGTACAATTTTGTTGGGATTTAATATGACAGTTTCTTGTTATATGGATCTTCTCCAATTGCAAGCTGATCACTTGGTACATTTTATACAAGATTGGTAAATGAAACCTGCCACGCTAGCTCGCCATTAAGGTTGGATTTTTTTCTCAAGCAGGCAACCATGTACTTTTGACTTTTTGTATCTGTTGTTTTGTTGTATAAAATCAGTAAACTGGCCTAGAAAGATACGGCCCCATGAATTGACAAATTGCTAGGGGTGTTTTAACCATTCTTACCATCACCCAGCCAATTCTTCTTTGTAATTAACTTTTCTTCTCGTGCTGCTTTTCTTCTTACATCTTCAACTTTGCCTTTTGAACTTCTTTTGCTTAACTTAATTATGTCTAACGTTTGAAAGTAAAAGGAAAGATACTACCTTAATCTTTTGTCTGGAAATGTTTTTTCAAGTAAATGTCTCTCTCTCGCACCTTGCCTGCTTGCCCAGTTTCTCTTTTTGATTGTTTGGATTATGCTTGCAAAATGACTACTTTTTGAATGCTTTTCCTGGTACTGATTGGCTATGCCTGGTACTCAGGCTATCAGTTTAGCACATGCTAGAGTGTGATGAATATCTCAACCTTTCATTTTTGTATAGCTCAGTAAATATCCTTTGCAAAAATTGTAAGTTTTGTGTTTATGATTTATTCTAAGATGCTTATTTACTATTTAATTCTCATTAAATTACCACTTACATACTCTCAAGGTACTTTTGTGATAAGTAAGGTATCGTGAAATTTGTCCCTTGTTGACATCTGTTCTCAATAGGGTTGAATGCTATATGAACTCCCTTTTGATTTCTTGTAATATTAAAAAAAATACCTTGTTATGACTCCCGTAGCTTTAAAGCTGCTGACAGGTACAAGCTGTGCTACTCTATGAGGGGTAGGATATGATGTGGGTCCTATCTGCTTGCACCACCTACTTTATAGCTTGAATGTTAGTAATTCCTGTCATTTGTGTTATTTACTGTTCGTTATGGATTTATGTGTAAAATTGTTGTTTTACTTGGTTAGTATGACCATCCACAAAACAAACATCCTTACTAGGCCTTAAATGTCTGACCAATACCCTGAGCTACATACTAGGCTTAAATGTCTGTCTGATATCCTGAGCCCCCAGAACAAATTCAGTATCACTTTGATTTCACGAAATTGAATGCTAAAGAAGGAAATCCTGATTGTTTTTTGTTGGATTACTTGCACATGGCTACTTTATACGATGAGTTTTACACTTTCTGGAGTGTTATGTTACTGTTGGTTCCCAGTTTTTTTAATTCCTTATTAGTTTTTGTGTTTATGTTCATTGTTCATAAAAAAAAAAGCATGTTGGTGAAGTTGGAAATAGCTTAGTGAAAATAATGCATTTTGTTGAAAAATGACTAATTGAAAGCGAGCTTGAAGCTTGGGTACCACTGAAAGTACTTATCCTCCATGCTGTTTCTCCCTTTGTTGGGAAATGGGAGTTGATCTCGTAATCTGTTGCAATGTCCTTGTCCAGTTAAACTATTCAATTGTTTGGAATTGATGCATAAGAAGCCACTAACTTTCAGAATTATTTTTTTGCTTTTGTTGAAAGTTGTCAATTTTTGTTGTTATATATAAGAATTGTCAAATTCTGTCATTCATGTTTTCTGACTAAATTAAAGCAAATTTAAATTTTCTCTAGGACTAAGCTGTTTTTTTTTTTAAAAAAAGTTTTCTTCAAGTTCTTCATCTATTTATCTTTGCAAAGTTGCTGTTATCAGATAATGCTTCTCTTTATTCATTGATTCATTTATTTTGCCAACATAGAGGGCAGATGCATCAACTGACTGGAAGGAATTCACAAGTCCTGATGGACGAAAGTGCGGAATTCATTCTACTTTCCCTGGAGCTATTTGTTCATTTTGTTTATTCAAAGATTCCTTTTCTCTCCCTCTTTCTAGCAAAGTGAATATATTTGTGATGTTTTGGGTGTTGTTCTGTCTATGAATCCTCTAGATATTACTACAACAAAGTTACCAAGCAGTCAAAATGGGAAATCCCAGAAGAATTGAAGGTTTCTCCTGAACTGACATATTTCCTTTTTGTTAAACATATTTTCAACTTTTTGTTAAAAAGACAAACTTGTTTATATCACCATTGTTTTAAAATGCTTGCTTCAAGTTGGCCCGTGCACAAGTAGAAAAGCCATCTATCATGGAAACACAGTTGAATGTCTCTGCTAATTCTCATGCCCCTACTTCTGTTCTTCCATCCATGGGTAAGGCACCATCTAGTGCCGATGCTTTGTCTTCTACAGCTCAAGGGGCACCATCAAGTCCAGTTCCTGTTAAACCTGTTGCTGTTGCTGGTAACTCGCAATCTCAGTTCGCTTCTGAATCATCAGCCGTACCTGTTATGTCCTCTTCCATGACGACCAATGCAGATGAAGTTCAGACAACCGAGAGTCCTGTTGCTGGTGTTCCAAAAAATGCTGAAATCAATGCTACAGCAGTTAACACAATAACTGCACCAATGTATAGTATTCTTTACCTATTTCATAAGAAACAAAAGTAGCATGTATCTTAGGTTCACTTATTTTTTTAATTTTTTAGGAGCGACAGCTTTTCTGCTCATGATAAACCTGGTTCAAAAGATGATGCTCCTGCCCAAGATAAACAGGTAGTTGTCAACATAAGGATTTCTTTCAGTCTGGAAACATACTGGACTTGCTTTGCTAGCAATTTGATGTGGTTTATCCCTTCCAGGAAGCTGAAAAAGACGTTGTCATAGATGAAAAGGTTAACAATGTTACATTGGAAGAGAAATCAGTTAATCAGGATCCCTTACTTTATGCTGATAAGCTGGTATGTATTTTACAGATTAAAGTTTCTCATAGCATGCCTATCTGGTATTGACATTTTGACTGTACATTTTTCCTTCCCCCTTTCTAGGAGGAAAAAAATGCATTTAAAGCACTTTTGGAGTCTGCAAATGTTGGGTCTGAGTGGACCTGGGACCAGGTAATTTAACACATTGTATGTGTAATTCTGTCTCCTGCATTTGGAAGTTCCTGACTTCGCTGCTGGTTATATCAGGCCATGAGAGTAATAATTAATGATAAAAGATATGGTGCATTAAAAACACTTGGAGAGCGGAAGCAAGCATTTAATGAGGTAAATATTCACAGTTGGTGTTTTCTTAAGTTTTAACCTCTCTGTTCTCTCTTGCCAAAAAAAATAAAAATCGCACTTTGTAGAATTTCCTGTGTATTCAAAATGTCATTTATCATGACACTAACTTTTTGTTTCAGTTCTTGGGTCAGAAGAGAAAACAGGAAGCCGAGGAAAGGAGGGTTAAACAGAAAAAAGCACGGGAAGAATTCAAGAAAATGCTAGAAGTAAGTTTATTGAGTTTCATTCTTCTGTTCTGTGTATGAAGATATGAGTGCGCGTGTGATTTTTCTGTAAGAGTCTGGTTTTCCTTTTGGTTCTAACATGAAATCCTTTCAGGGGTCCAAAGAGCTGACAGCATCCATGAGATGGAGGTTTGTATTTCTGATGTAATTTTTCATTGCAATTCATTTCCTCTTGTTCCTTGTAAAATGGCTGTTTTCTTAATAATTTCTTTTTTGTACTTGAATGCTCAAAATATTGTTCAGTAAAGTAGCGACTCTGTTTGAAAATGATGAGCGGTTTAAAGCTGTTGAACGGGAAAGAGACCGTAGAGATCTGATTGAAACCTACTTGCAGGAAATTGAAGAAAAGGTATACTTTGCTAGCTCCATTGCTTTATCATCTATTCTTAACATGCATCCAGATAATTTAGCTTGTGTGTTTTAATGTATTTTTGTTTATTTTATGAAGTCTAATAACTGATGGTAGCAATATATGAAGTTGTTATTTGAAATCTTAAATTGGGATTTTTACTAGGAACGAGCAAAGGCACATGAGGAGCGCAAGAGGAACATCATGGAATACAGGCAGTTTTTGGAATCGTGTGAATTTATAAAGGCAATCTTTTGGCAAAGCTGATACATTTTCAGGTTTCCTTAAGCAGTGCAACTTACCACTTACCTATCATTTTCCCTCTGTAGGCAAGCACCCAGTGGCGAAAAGTACAGGATCGGTTAGAAGCTGATGAAAGATGTTCACGCCTTGAAAAAATTTATCGCTTAGAAATTTTTCAGGTAATCATCTTGATTTAGCTAGTAACATTTGTACAAGTATTTGGATCTAATTTCACAATGATGTCTCAGGATTATTTACATGATTTGGTGAAGGAAGAAGAGGAGCAAAGGAAGATACAGAAGGTGACCTTATTAGTTAGCCTTTGTGAAACGAATGTATTTTGTTTTGTTTTAAACTATGTTCTTATTCCATTGTTGATGAAAATAGGAAGAACAAAGAAAGGCAGAGCGTAAAAATCGTGACGAGTTCCGCAAGCTGCTTGAAGAACATGTTGCTTCAGGCACTCTTACAGCCAAAACTAACTGGCGAGATTATCACCTAAAGGTTAATAAAACCATCTTGGTTTTGTTTTGATAAGCATCTTTGTGCGTGTGTGTCCGTCTCACAAGCAACTTTGATTTTGTGACTGAGCATTGTTAATTGGTTTCTGTTAAGAAGAGCTGTTGTCTCATATTATGGAATGCATTTTCTCATAGATTCTTACTTTAATTTGTTATTCAGGTTAAAGATTTGCCTGCATATGTGGCTGTCGCTTCAAATGCCTCAGGTTCAACTCCAAAAGATTTGTTTGAAGATGTCTCTGAGGAGCTACAGAAACAAGTAATTATACTGCGTTTAGTTTCATGATAATTGACATTTTCATCAAGAAAAGCATGTGGAGTTGAGAAAAATAGGCTATTATGAACTTTAGAGTTTGTAGGGACATGTTTTATTCTTGATGTTTCAGCATTTTCTTTTTATACCCGCTATATTAGTTTTTCAGTTTTTTACCCTTTATACAAGCTGTGACAAACTTGTGGCATTTAATTACACCTTCAAAATTCTGAGCAGCATTTGCCTGCAAACTCTAGTCATTGCAATAGTAGTTAATTAGTTTAAATAGCCAATTATTTTTTTGATATTAATTAAAGATGGTATATTGAAATATTTTTCCTTTGATGAAGTTGGGCCCAAAGAATTTGGGCTTAAATGCAAGACACAAACAGAAACTTCTCTGCAGTGAAAATCCAGATTGTCTAGATACCTGTTCTTCATGATTAATAATTTGTTTATGGGAATGTTACAGATTGATTTAATTTTCTTAACATTTGTTGGTTTGAAAGTGTGCTTTCTTTGACCTGATATTCTGGCACTTACACATTTGCAATGTGTCTGCTTGTTTTTACAGTATCATGAGGACAAAACTCGGATAAAGGATGTTGTAAAGTTGAAAAAGGTATAATCTGAAAAATGTTTTCTTTTCACGTATCCTGTTCTCTTAGATGTCTAATATGCTTGAACTTGCAGGTTACTTTGGCATCAAACTGGACACTTCAGGATATGAAGGTTGCTATTATCGAGGATGTTAACTCTCCACCTATATCAGATGTGAACCTAAAGGTGTTGTAAACTCTAATTTTAGTTGATTCTTCCTTCTTTAAATTGTCAAGTTCTTCATTCTTAAGGTTAATTGGCGATCTTGTCTTTACAATGTCATTTTCTCCACATTTCATTGGGTTACATGTTCCTTTTGAGTTTTTTCTATTATGTGTAGTTGGAATTCTTGGCATCTGATTGAAAAGATTAAAGAGAAAAAAAAAAAAATTGATTGTAATTGGAATTTTCTCTGGGTTGCATGATCACATTGCACTAGAATATACTCACCGTTGCTTGGCAATTGTTTGAAAATGATCTCTTGGACCAACAATAAGTGTCCTTTCCTAAAAAATGTTAACTTGATTGTGGATAACCTAATTCAAATCTTGGAAGCCTGAGCTTGCACATAAATAGCCCGAAAGCTAGCACTGCCCTAATTTGAAGGCAAATGGTATCTAGAATTGGAAATAGGCAACTATACTATTGTATACATGGTTTTATTTTCAAAGGATTTTATTTCCCTTGATTGCATTTTTTTTTTTGAAACATATATGCCACAGTGATCTGATGTGGTGCTTTACCTCTCTGCAGATGGTATTTGATGAGTTGCTGGAAAGAGCAAGGGAAAAGGAGGAGAAAGAAGCCAAGAAGCGTAAACGTCTTGCGGATGATTTTCTCAATCTACTACAGTCTATCAAGGTATAATGTCCTTTTATTGGATGGATAATTAAGGGCATTTTCTTCCAATCATCCATCTGAGTCTCTGCTTTGTTGCAGGATATAACTGCATCTTCAAAGTGGGAGAGCTTCAAGGAAATCTTTGAAGGAAGCCAAGAGTACAGGTATTACTTGCCAATATTTGAAACTGTGTTTATTAATGGATCTATGATATATGCATCTGCAAACAGTTTTGGACACTTCCAAACATGTCAAGATCTCTTTTTTATATGAAAATGCAATTTTCTTTCTTTTCTTTTTTTTTTTTGGTATTTGCTTGAAGGACATGCAGTTTTCTTTCCTCTTCAAATTAATTGTGTTTTACGAGTCACAAATTGATTTCCATGCTAAATGCTATATTTTATCATTTGTCCTGTAATTGTTTTATTTGTGGAACTTTCATTAATAACCATATCCGTTATCTGAGCTGTACTTCATTTGTAATATCATTTTGCTTGATGTTTTGTTGTAGTTCCATTGGTGAAGAAGCCTTCTGCAGGGAGATGTTTGAGGAATATATATCCCAACTGAAAGAACAGCAGAAGGAGAATGAGCGGAAACGAAAGGAGGAAAAGGTATGAACTGGTTTCGTGTGAATTTAAACAACGTTCAAAACTCAAAACCATGGTGCTGTCTGTTATTTTTGAAATAATATTTGAACCATGACTATTACATATGTGAGCTGTGGTCACTTCCCATCTGGTACTTGCAAAACAAATAAACTTGGATAGTTAAACTTAAATTTCTGGTTTTGATATTCTGCAGGCAAAAAAGGAAAAAGAGAGAGATGAAAGAGATAGGAGGAAAGCTAAGCATAGAAGCGAAAAGGAGAGGGGACATGAAAGAGACAAGGAGCACACAAGGAAGGAAGAAGCTGATGTTGAAATCTCTGATACAACAGAAACTCAAGTTTGTAGTGATAAGAAAAGATCTGGGAGTGACAATAGCAGCAGGAAACAGAGGAAGAGGCATCAAAATGCTGTGGATGATCTGGATGAAAGTGAGAAGGATCGGTCCAAGAGCTCCCATAGACATGGCAGCAATGACCACAAAAAATCAAGAAGGGTATGCAATTTTTTCATTCTCATGCATGTAATACTTGGCTTCACGTGAAATACAGCATTAATGGAACATGCTTTCCTTTGTTTTTGGCCCATCGGTGCAGCATGGTTCCACCCCTGAGTCAGACAGTGAAAGCAGGCACAAGAGACTGAAGAAAGACCACCGTAATGGTTCTCGTAGAGCTGGTGATAATGAGGATCTCGAAGATGGGGAATTTGGTGAGGATAGGGAAACTCGGTAGTTATCTCTTCCTACAAATTGTTTATTTTTTCCAAATTTTCTTCAATATTTTATCTGTATTACAACATGAACTGTTTTCTAAAGCATTGCCTTAATAGAATAGAGTTTAAGTAGTATTTCTTACATCTTTCTGTAATCTGTATGTGCATTGGTTTTTCGTTTAATCAGCCACACATCCATGGATAATATTTTGAGAGAAGTCACATTGCAAGGGCACTGTTATAACATTGCAAAACAAAATCAAGAAAATGAAAAATCTAAAATATACCTAAGAATTCAATATTAAATTATGAACTAGAGTTAATAGCCAAAGTGGAATTTGTTTGATATTGCAGGTAGTCCAATCACTTTTGACCTGTGAGATTACTGTTCCTGTCTTTGGTTGGATGATAGGCTGGTTTACTAGTCTCTGTTTATTTGTGCGGCCTCGTCAAATACACATTGGCCAACTTGTACCAATAACTTTATGATGCCAGTGGTTGCTGCGGTGAACTGGTACTTTTCTGCTTTTATATGAATGAGATACTGTATTGTATCATGCTGTAAGAACTACGATTCCTGCTTTCAAACTCGTTCTCCTTCAGCCATAGGTAAAATAGAGGTGATTGTGGTAAATAAATGATGAATTGAAAGGAGAAAAGAAGTTTATGGAAATTGGAGAATTATCCATAAGAAGCTAACAATGAAACCAGCTCTAATGGTGCCACAGTGGGCATATTTTTACATGGAAATTGTGATGTTGCAGTCTGGCTGATAATCCAAAAAGTTGACCCTTTGAATAACACGCCCATCAATAGAAAGTGATGAATTTCCATGAATCTTTATGATCTGTGTATTGTTTCTATCATTAGTGCTTGCTCATCGTTCATGGATCATGATATTTTGTGCTTTATCTGGCTGCCTGGTTCTGCATGCTCGATATATAAACTACTTGTTTTTGTAGCTCAAGTACTTTCACGTTGTTTTCCACTCTACATTGCTTGTCAATCATGCCGGTATTGCTTTATTTTCTTAATGGTCACCGTACTCTTAAAAGTCCGCGTTAACACAAATGAGGAAGAATATATAAAAGTTTTCCATTTGTTATTGATGTTGTGAAACCTAATTTAAAGTTTATGATGCCATAGGACCTCCTGAGGCTCTGCCTGTTGAGCAAGCCAACACTGATTTCCTCGTAATTTTTTACAGGAGGTTCTGTTGCTATTTTTTGGTCTCTGTTTTGCCAAGTAATTAACACGATTGTTTACTGCAAAAATAAATCAAGCACTTCCTGAATTATTTCATTCAATATCGCGTCTCCTATCTCAGTCCCTATCCTCTGCTGCAAATAACAGCCATATTCTACTGTGCTAGATACATTAATATTTATTTGTTCGGTTGCTTCTTGTTTTCCCCATGAGCAAATTTGCTCGCAGATGATTTTCCCAAGCTCTTGTAGACCTATGAATTCTTGAGCTTGCTGCTTTCTTCTGTGCATCCTTCCATGTACTTCCATGGCTTCGTTTACATGATCATGAAGTAGCTGCATGTTTTGCCGCAAGATCCTATTGTTTTTCAGGTGCTGAGAAAAAGCAGGCCCAACAACCTCCCGTAACTCTGCGAAACCAGCAAGGCTATGCTTTTCAATCAATGATTTAATTAGTAAGTCGCAAAAGAAAGCTGAGAGGATGTTGTCTTCCTCTGTATTTCTACTCAAAACGGTGCTTGAAGCTGATGCACCTTTTCCTTCTTGTTTTAGCAGGAAGCGACACACTGTTCATTGTAAGAATGGGTCACTACTAATCTAAAATTATAAATCAAGAAAGTTGCCATGTTATTCATAAATGAAATAAATGATACTTTGTACCTTTGTCTGTTGATGGTAGTTCATTTAGCACTGACACTGGGCTGAGTTGCTCATTCTCTTCCTTGCTTTCCCACTGAAAATTTGTATCTGCAGCAGCCTGCTTAACTTTTGTCAGTAAATCTTTATGAAACAAGAAACATCAAGTAAAATTCTCTCGTGACCACATTATATGAAGGGAATAAAGTTCAGATAATGTTTTCTTGATAATATCTTTATATGCACCTTTTGTTTCAAACTGCTATGTGTCAAGGGTTGAGAAGTTTTTGGACGAAGAGAGGCATGATTTTCATGAAAATGCGAATCTTTAACATTGCATCTGAAAGATTCACGAACTGCAACTGCACCGCTCCCTGTAGGAGGCCACTCTGTTTCTCCAAACTGCTGGGGCTTTTCAATTGTTTTCGAAACACGTTCATGTATCTGAGCTTTATGGCAGCTTGAAACTGGCTGGTTTTGACCAGTGCGAGTGAACTTAAGCAACAACAATTTCAGGATCTTCCTAGTCTGCTCAATCCTTATTTTGTTCAAATCATAACTGCGTGGTCTCTTTTGCTTCTTGTTCAACATGATCTTTCGTTCTGAAAGGTAAGCGTCAAGCACAAAAGGCTTCTGTTGCTCTTGGAGATACTCCCATAGCTGTTTTGATGAAGAAGAAGCCATTCAAGTCCTGCAAGCTTGTGTGTTTTGATGTTGCAAGTGTGATCAGAGAGAAGGGGTGATGAGGTATGAAGGGCAGCAGGCGTATTTGTAGTTGGAACTGACACTGAGCATGTATGTTACATTGAAAGATAAAAAATATGAAAAAAAACGATTAAAGGGTGTAGATTTAAATATTTGGAACACAGAATTTTGACATCTTTCTTCTTTATCATGTTCTATTGTCTGGAAATTTTGGCGTCATCAGTCAATTACAAGACTGCCTAGTTTTAACTTTTAGCTGTCCGCAAGCTGTGGCTAGATTGCGTGGGACTATAATATGATACGCCTGCACGATGATATCTAAACTTCTGTATGGTCTCCTCAAGTTCTGTCCTATATAGAGAAACATCCATAACAACACTTGATGAATCAGAGGCAAATTGGATGGTGTACATGTTGCATGGTGGCATTTTGGCTTACATTCAGGCAAAGTTCAACTTCTCTTTGTATTTGTCTATGTATGCAAATAATTCTTTAGATAATTTAATATTATCACACCAGCCTTCATTTAAACCCCAAATTACTCTTACATGTCCCGTCTTTTCCTGACTAAAAACTGTTTAAAAGTTGCTTTTGATAAAACAAAGTGTTTTACTTCAAATTAATTTTTAAAAAAACAACAGTATATATTCCACATCTTCGTACGAAAGACAATTGACCACCTGATGTTCAAGTTTTTTGTCGACCATAAATTCATCATGTGGGTAGGGCCCTTAATGGGCATTTTAGTACCTCTAAGCAAGAAGGTCTGGAGTCTGGACAACCAGGGAAATGATTGTCTCATGTCATGCATAGTTTTTTTCGTTTTTTGAGAAGGAAGTCAAGCAAAACTGCAAAAGTTCTATCTTATTCAAAACTCACTTCTCATTTCACGCTTGTATAAGATTATTTGTTGTTCCATTCATACAACATCTCAGTTATACTCTCGTGTTACATAAAAATAAGTTGTATTTAATGAAGAATAAATATTTGTTTTAATATTTGATGAAATATAGTGGGTCCTCACAAAAAAATTTATACATCTAAAAGGTTAAAAAACAATTAAAATCTAAGATGTTAAACGTAATTGAGTTATGGAGGCTAAACTCTTCTTACAGGCTAGACTAAGGGAAGGTGGGTTCTTCTCTTGACCAAGTTCAAAGGAGGATGGATTCGTCCCTGAAGCTTGTCCATGGAAAGAAAGTCATTTGAGGGAGGATGAGTCATTTTTTTGGTTGAGCTAAAGAGAAGATGGTCCTCAAGAGTTTTTATACATGTTAAATTTAAACTTATAAGAAAAAAACACACATATTTAACTCGGGGACAAAGTTGAGCCTAAAGAAAAAACAAACGAGAGAGAGAGAAGAAAAGAAGAGAAAACAACTCAAAACAAAAAATGCCCGGATGGACAGAAGGTTTTCGCCAGGCCTGAAATCTGCTATTTTGTTCAATGCATTAGGCAATCCAACTGGACGTCTTAAGCCTGTGTCCAAGACAACATCCATGCATCTATGAATAGCCCAGTAGAAAGTCAGCAGAAGAACTGCAATAATGATGAGATAAAGAGCGACGGCTATGGGTATTCATGAGTTTTGCTATATCCACGTCCATACCTGAATCTGAATTTAAAATTATTATTTATACTCAATCGAAAATCTTAATTTGCTGCTGTTGCTGTTGGAGCTACTGTAGCTGCTGCGCTGTTGGAGATGCTTCTGCAGCGCTGCTATGCCAATGAGAAATGTCGGGTTCTACTCATCCGAACTACAAGAAAGGTGACTTTAAGGTATAATCATAAATTATATAAATAAACTTCACTGACTTAGCACTACCCTGTCCAAAACTCAACTTTTATATTTGAATGTTACTCAATAATCTGAATTTGATTTTGTCATAAAAAAATAAAAATTCAACTTGTATCAGATAGGCTGAGAACAATCAGTTTCGGGTTAAATTGACATCCTCGAAAATAATGCTTTAAGGATTTAAAAAAAAGAAAGAAAAAGAAAAAAGGTGGCAAATTAGTCAAACGTATGTATAAAAGAGGTCAAAATGCTCTCCTTGGTGGCCGCCGAAGGCCATACATGCTTTGATTGTAGCTTTCAGTGGTTGGTGGATGATAAAGGAAGATTTTTTGTCAAACCTGTCATAGCATCATTGAAGGCTCTAGTGGGAAGAAAACGTGGCTCCAAGAAATTATCCTCGAGTCCCTCAGTAAAAGAAAAAAGAAGAAGAAAGAAAAGCACCATCCTTAATATATTGAAACTTTAGATGGTGATTCTAGCCACGAATCAAAACTTAAAAGGCGTCAGCTCCAGCAATTGCAAATTTGCAACTTGCCATAAGACCACTTTTGAATCTTATTGCTAGTGGGCCTGAATTAAATATGTCTATTGATCGTAACACCAAGCTTTGGTGACAGTGAAATAAAGGGTGAGTAAAAAAAGGTGTCTTATGTCTGTCTTTAATGGTTTAACATAGCAGGATTTGATGCATAATTAGCGTTTTGTTCCTTAAAAGTCAATTTTACCTCAAGCATTTTCAGCAGTTTCTTCTGCAGTAATTCGCTAAAGAAAGCCAATAACACTCCTGAAGTTAAAGCTAGCAAGCAATGGCCTGGCCTTACACGAGAAGGCTGTCTTCGATATTGTAATGGTCTTTTATTTGGTCATTCTGAACTTTTGGCCTCCACTTGGTCAGAACTGTTGGTTAATTTGTAGCTAAAATTAACAGTGCTTCTAACGTCAGATCACAAAATGGAGAAGGACCTAAATGAAAAGAAGAAAGAGACGGCCTTATGGTCCAACCTATTCATCTTTTCTGGTCTACCAGAATTTGAGTCTTAGAATCAACTCTGGGGCTATCCCACTTTGAGTTATTGTAAATGACAACTTGCCAGCAAAAATTTAGTGCTCGTTAGTCGTATATATAGTCCTAGATTAGGTCCAATTTTTGTCATGGAGTAACCTTCCCTCTCATGTCTTTTTTTTTTATCAAGATTTTCATGACTTGGTATTCATGGCCGGCCTGCGTTTTAAAATGTTTAGATTTTGGAATTAGTGATATTGTGATGTGACATGAATTATAATCCTTCTTGGAATTTTTATAATTAGGTTTGAATGTCATTGAAACTTTATAGGATCAAGATCATGACTGGTGCTCTATCAAAACTAGGATTTATTCCTTACAAATATGACTTACTTTTCTAGCGCGTGTCGTGAGGATTTTAACTATGGTGAGATTCTCTTCTTCTTTTGTGGATACAAGTTTAGTTGGATCATATAAAATCCCTGTATCGTATGGTTCTGCTTTACGGATATTTATCAGAAGAGAGTGCACGATACAAACCCCAAGAACCCTTGGAAGGAACGAAAAGCTAAACGACCAGTCTTGTGAACACCTCCCCTCCCCAGCTGCATTTGCGACTGCAAATTGACATGAGCACAGACAGTTGTTCTCTGTGTAAAAATCTCGTGAATGAATAAGATGGTATCTGTCGAGCTGACCAAATTAAAGAAGCTTCTTTCATTACCATATTCATGTTTTTCCCTCCCAACTTTCAGCAACCCAACCCCAACAAGAAAACATTTATTAACTCGAGAAAAACAGAATGGTCCTCTCTCTGTTCCCTTTCATTGCTTGCAGCTGCTCTTGAATCTTAATAATGGTGATGGAATTATTAGTGGGAATTTTCATCATTCAGAAGCCTAGAACACAACCATGCTTCTGACCCACCAACGCAAATACATTTGGACGGCCGAATGAGCATTCCAAATTCATCATAACATTTGCACTATGAGTCTGTTCCTTCAATTTGATGCACCTCATCATGAGTCTCTTGTAATAAAGTTTTTTGGGTACATATCAATATTGGCAGTATTGCTTGCTTTGCTAATACAATCTCATAAATACCATGGTATATTAAATTTGTCAAAACTGTTGGAATTAAAGCAGTTTTTTTATCTATGGTGTAAATTTAGCGACTTTGTCTTGGAATAAATTTTTCATGTTAAAAAATATTTTTAAATTATTTGATTAATATATTAATATTAAAAATAATTTTTTATTATATTTTAAAATAACAATATTTTAAAAAATAATATCCATTGTAATTCTAAACACAATATAAATAATAAAAAAAGGATTGCCAGCTCTTGCTTCTTCTTCTTCTTTTTTCCTGGGGGGTTTTCGTGCCTTAAAATCTTGATAGTACCTTGGTTTGACCGAAAGCGTTGCCGTTTTTCTCTACACCTGAATACTGATAAGTACGGCTGGTGTTTGGTCACAAAGCAGTTTAGTTACCATTCACAAAGCCAACGTAAATTCCAGGTAGCTTCCTCAAGGGTCAAACGTTTTAATGAGGTTTATCTGACGACTAAATTATCTGTTATCTAATCTGCATTTTAGTGAATTATATTATTAAAATTTTAGATTTTAGCTTTATTAATTTTTTTCTAATTAGTTGTTTTTCAATTATTTACCAATATGAATATTTAAGGTATTTAAACTGATCCTGTCATGTTTTATCAGATTTTAACTAAATAAAACTACATATTCTTACAATTTTAGTTTTGTTTACATCTGATCTTAAGATTTAAATGTGTGTTAACCTCAAACTCACAGCTTTCTTTACATTAACAAGGTTACGAACCCCTCTTTTATCTAGTCAAAGTAAGGTTTAATTTTATAATGATTAAATGTATTTAATTATAAATATAACTCATATTTTTTTATTTATATTTCTAATAGAAAGGATAGATTTGAAATTAGATTAAAAATCATAATTCAACAAAGAAAAAATGAGGCCAACCATTATAAAACTTAACAGTTGCCTCCTTCACACCCCAATTCCCTCGCAAACCCTCTCATTCTCTGCCGTTCTTCTTAAAAAATATTTTCCAAACAAATATTTATCATGGTTCTAGAACTTAAAAAGTCTTGATTTCCAGAATTTATAATCTTGTCAAAAAAAAAAATTATTTTTTCTGCAAGGAAACTACGTGCAAGTCTGGCCATGGTTCTAGAACTCATTTACTTTTCAACGATGATGCTGATCACCAAATCATCTAACTCATATCCGTACATTCTTCTCTAATTGGTTTTTTATCCCCTTGAAATCAGTTGGGAAATAACTAATTTATCTTCAAAAAACATAATTCCATATTTGCCCTTCCATGACGTCTATAAATTATCCCTAAAATATCTCCTCTCCATATTTCATGCTCCTTTGAGTTTTATAGAAAGCAAGAAATCAAAGGAGAAGCAGAGGAATGGCTTACAGGATCAGCACCGTTTGCATCATGGCCATTCTTTTCTTTTCCTTCACTTTGACCTCTGCTGCCCGGCCGGAGCCAGCCTTCGCTGATGTAACTCCGATGGAGACTCTATACGGGGTATACATGTTAGTTTTTCATCAACTTGCTTGTGGTTTGTTCGCTTTTTCTTAATCCTTTTTGTTCTTGATTTATTGAAGGATAATGCCGAAGCAGAGACTGTAGAGGTGGAGAAGAGTTGTGAAGGAGTTGGAGAAGACGAGTGTTTGACGAGAAGAACACTTGCAGCTCAAATTGATTATATATACACTCAGAAACACAAGCCATGAAATCTTACGTTTTCTTGGTTAGTATTGCATCTATAAATGGGAGGCTTCCCTGTATCATTTCCCCAAATCTCTCCTAGTCAATATTGTATATTTACTTGGTTTGAATGTTGTATTAATAAAAACGGACGCAGATGTTGTAGTGGGTTGTTAATTTACTTCTGGCTTCTTGAGTTTCCATTGAACGTTGTTCAGTCTTGCTACTTCTTGCAGGGCAAGACCAAACCAATTGCTCTGTGCACACAACAGAGCTGATTACCAGTCAATACTGGTCTAATTTCTGGAATTTTTGTTTCTGGCTGGTGCCTGAATTTTGTGATCAACTAGTTTTGTTATGTTAATCACGACTGCTGCTTGATTACAAATTTACAACATGGGTTGAATCCATCAATGGAGATTAAGAGACAAGTAATCTAGCAATCAGAAGGTACATGTTGATCGATTGTGAAGATCTTGATCGTGGCTTAACTTGTATCTTCTAGGAGAAACCATCCTCTTTTCTCCCTTGTGAGTCATCCGGTGAGGGCCGCTCTGGTCTCAGGAAGCTTGAGTAATTAAACCTATATTAAAATTTAGAACTTCGACGATTAATTAAGAGGATTTCATGTGCCTCACGGTTTAATGAAACCATATTGTACAATTTACAAACAAAGACTTGGTAATCAATAATAGAAAATTGAGATTTATAAGTAATTAAAGTATGAAAACCCGAGACTTCAACAGGTCAACTGCGAGTATCATTGGATTAAACATATATTAATTCACGATTAGAGTTGTTACCATACAAGTTTGATAGAATATACTACAAATAAAGAACGTATTGGAATGCTCCTTTAAAGGTAAGCATGACATCTTTGTTCAATTGACAACTTGAACATGGAGAATTAAAGTGGGTTTGGAAAAGGGTTAAAAACCATGTTGTTTTAAATTTTAAATTATTTTATTTAAAATAAATTTTTTATATTTTTAGATTGTTTTTTCGTATCAAAAATAATTTTTTTTAAAAAATAATTTTTTTATTTTAATATATTTTTAAATAAAAATAATTTAAATTATTGCCGTTATTAATCATGCTCGATGACATATAGGTTTATTTGTCGTTTTTTTCTCACCCCAACTCAACTTGAAAGTACATGTAATCTCATTTCACAAAAGTACAAATCTATAAAAACTATTATAACTAAGGGGAAAAAAAAATAATACTAACAACCTGTGTTAATACCACCACAGGTTACACATGCAAAAGTATGAAATGAAATAAAAATCATAATTTATAAAAAAAAAAAAGGTGAAATGGCCAATGCATCTACACGGGCGATAGACATTGTGGTACGCAGTTTTTGACCCTAATCTAAAGTCTTCGCCCTTTTGAATGTCCTCTGAGCTGCCATATGATGAATTGTCATAGATTTCGCAAGCATGATATATGGCTGGCCCTAGAGGCATGATTGTGATGCCACGATACTTGAGCAAGTCTGGCAGATGGTGGGTGTCGATGTCACCTTAGCACAAAAAAGTTTCCCAGAACTTTGTCGAGTAACGCCAAGGTATCATCATTTATGCCGAAAGGCCAAAGTAAGAAGAAGAAGGAAAAAAACCATTGCAATCAAATGTTTATGCAATTATGGGTACGTGTTCAGCATTCTATCAGGATTTGGTTCCATCCCATGTAAAAATTAGATTAATTTTAGAATGCTTTCATGCTACATTCTTGTGTATTAATACCATGAGTTTATAATTCAGAAATATTAACTGAAGTTGCATCACGAAATTGAACATTAAGCAATGGTAACGATAATACCATTGGTCTTCTTTTTTTTTGGCCATTGGCCATTGCTATCTCCCATAAGAGAAAAAAAAAAAAAAAAAAACTCCTGCTGCCTGGTGCCTGCCATGATCATAAACAGTCAGACACCATTTATTTTTAACAAAACAAGTAGCAGGACTAGAAATTTCATTGATTTAATGGGCCTAACAGAATGTATGGGCATCAGTCCAGTTTAAGGTCCACAAATATGCATGCCCCAAGAGCAAAAAAGGCAAGGCCTTAATCCTATAAAAATTAATAAGTCTAGACTGCTTTACTACATGTCGAAAGATTACAGATACATTTACTGGCGCCAACACAGTATATTTCCCGCTACAGATCAACTAATCTGTCCATCTTCCCTCCGAAACACCCCCCTCAAATCCCTACAAAAGAAAATCCTTCCCCAAATCATCAAAAAGAAAACCATAAAAATGGGGAAAGAAAAGCAATATTGGCTTCTCAAAACCGAGCCAGGAGAGTGGTCATGGGATGATCAAGCCTCCAATGGAGGCATATCCAATTGGGATGGGGTAAAAAACAAGCAAGCCCAGAAGAACCTCAAGGCCATGAAACTCAATGATCTTTGCTTCTTCTACCACTCTGGGTCCAAAGCGCGACGTGTTGTTGGTGTGGTTACTGTGGCGAGAGAATGGTATGATGAAGGTGGCGAAGGAGTGGTGGATGTCAAAGCAGTGGGGGAGATGAGAAGGCCATTGGATTTGAAGGAATTGAAGGGTGACGAAAGGTTAAAGGGTTTTCAATTGTTTAGGCAACCTAGATTATCAGTTGTGCCGGTTTCAAAGGAGGTTTGGGAGAGAGTTTGTGAGTTGGGAGGTGGGTTTGAAGGGGATGGAATGGATGACGGTGGTGATGATGTTGATGGGTAGGAGCGGCAGATGGTGGATTTTGGTTTATGCAATTAAGTCTTAGATGTGTGCTATGTTTAGTTTTTGTTGAAGTATGGTGCTAATGTTAAACTGCTTGTTCCTAGATATCAGTATCATCTAATTAGTCTTAGATGTTTAAGGCTCTTTTTGGGGGAAAAGGAAAGAAGAACAAGCAGTGCCTGTTCGTTGCCGTTCTCTTGACTTTTGGCATTGTATATGTAAGTGCAGAATGTAAAGGTACTTTTGTTTTAATGTGTTGTGATTGCTTGCTTTGCAGGGGAATTGATACCATGCACGCCCTAAAATATGGGCCAACGAGCTCCATTTCAGAATAACAAGCCATTAACTTGCAATCAAATATCAGATAAATATCCAAATTTGAGTATTCAGGTGTATATTTCTTACCAGGGCAAAATCATTTGGCCACGGCTCCTGGATTAGACAACAGATAATGCTTCTGCCATTTTGTCAAACACCTTACATGCATGCCAAAAACCCTTGACCTGCTGATTGAACGAGAATAGAGACCACATGTATGATGTTGGGTAACTAATTTGTTTCAGGGCTTTGTGGATTTATCGAATGCTTTTGTTTAATTTTGGTATTCTCGTAGGCTTACAGTATATAAGCATTTGCTATGCAACATTGAGTACGTGAAGATTAAGAAACAAGCAAACTTGCTATAAACGATGTTTAAATGTTAAACCTTGTATTGTTATTATTATTATTATTATTATTAACAACAACAGAGCTCATTTGGGCTGGGCCTTTTGGGTCGCCCTGGACTTCAAGCTCCTAAACCTATGGCCTACCCTTAAATCCTAGCCCATGAACCAGCCGATGATTTCATGGTGTATAATCCATGTCAAATTATCATACTACTTCTAGAGTCATATCTTCTTCTTTTTTTTAAAAAAAAAAACCCTTTCAATTAAAGCGAATTAAGAGAAAAAGGAACTTCAGTTAAGGCGATTGCTACATAATTTGTGTGCACTGGCCACTACAACTATCCCCCTTTTTTTTTTTCAAGACATACATTTTTAAAATATATCAAAATATAGTTTGAAACATGCTTCCAAATAGTCACTTATACTTGTTACACTAAAAAATGTTCAGATCTTGGTGATTGAGAATTTTCAAAGCAAGTTGAGGATTCGACCTGTTATTTAGTGGACTGGGATCTGAAAGATCATGAGAGTGATGGCATTCTCATATCTAGTTCTAAGAACCCATATCATAGACAAAAGCGGAGAAGGTAACCTTGTGATTGGGCCTAATACAACATAGACTAGAGTTTTTGGATAGAACTCTTCGAGTTTGCTGATACTCTACGGGTCAGGGGATTCATTGATTGGTTTTAGTGATGCTGTTCATGATGAGATAGATAAGAATTTGTATTATTTTATTTTGATGATAGTAAATATGGCAATAATGACAGTAATGATAGGGATGATGCCATCAAAAGTGTCTTCATTGACAAGCTAGTGGTGAAGGCGATGAATTCAGGCATATGACTAAAGCTTTGAGATTGAGCACACGAATGAGAGGTACCCCTTTAATCATTATTACTTGCTAGACATTTGCATTTATTGACATTATTAGTGCTTATTAAGATGATCTGAGGTTTCTCATCAGTATATCAATGTCACTTCTGAAGTTTTAATGTCTGTAGTTGTGCTAGGGTTGGGAGGTCGTTTAAGTAACTCATTGTTGCTGCGCTGCTGCTGTATTCTTTATCATTATAGACAGCAGGGTTTTCTCAAATTTGTTTTGTAAATGTGTTTACATCATTATAATGCTAGTTTTGTTCGCATCGTTACGTTTCAGATAATCCAAATGGTTTGAGCTCTGCACTGGCAAAAAAAATTAAGTGGAACACAAGCATGCTTGCTTTTGATCTCAAACATTTACGGTTTTCTGCCTCTGAAAAAATTGTGATTTTCCAAACAATTCAATGCAAGGGTAGATCTCTTCAATGGGAAAGGAGGTTTAATAGGAGGGTGCATAGAGAGAATTGATCGTCCTGGACTTGTTTTTGTGGCATTGCAAGATCCAAAAATAGTTCCTCCTCAGAGCACACAAAGTGGCATGTATTTGCAGCATCTGGTGAGTTTGAGTAGAATCTCGCATAAAGCAATTAGACACGGTCTTTTAAACTCATCTCTGTCATCACATTTTCACATGTTTCTCCTTTAGGTACTCTAAAGGGTGATCGAGCTGAATGGCTTGTTGAGAAATGCGAGGTATGTCTTAAATACACAAATGAAAAAAAAATCTGCTTAAAATTATAGCCATTTTATTCCCCTTTCTTTTGTAACTGTTGGTCCTCTAATCTTCTCTCCTTAGGAACTTGGAGCTCACAGTGTGACCCCTCTGCTGACAGAGCGTTCTCTATCAATCTCAGAAAATCGAGTAGACAGGCTGTGACATGTCATTTTGGCAGCAAGTACAAAACAGAGTA